GTAAGCCACACAAATCACCAGCAGAAACAGTAAAACTCTCTGAGCGCTTGTTGCTGTTTCACCTGATGGGAGGTGGAGTTTGCTTCAATTAGTTCTGCATCCATCGACTCTGAAAGGCAGAATAATAATGAATTGTAGACAGCATAAAGAAATATATATATATATATATATATATATATATATATATACACACACACACACACACACACACACACACAATGTTACCTGTTTTCTCAGGCTGGTTGGAGGTTTCAGAGACCTTATCCACTAACTCTTCCTGCACTTTGGAAAACTCCTCTGATGACAAAAAAAAAAGAGTAAAATCACTCCAGTGTACCATCTCACAGTCATAACCATAATGTAGCCTAATACTCAAATCAACACTCCTCCATCTGTCCTCTCACCCAGTGCAGCCTTAGCTGCGGACGAAGCCACTCGTGGGTCCACCACGGATGCCAGGAAGGCCACAGTGCTCATGACGGGGTTTTCCGATTGGCTGAAAGGCACAGGCTGGTACGCCAGTGGGCCGAGGGAGGCCGACGAGTCTTCCAGATAAGGGTCTTCTATCGGTAGACGGAGGAAGTGGAGGATACACTCGTCCTGTGTTCTGGAGCCCACATGCTCGGATACTTTGTTCCAGTCATCTCTGTAGACCTCTAAGGCCTAAAAGAGAGACAAAGAGGAAAGGCAAGTGTGAGAACAAGATGCAAACCTTCAGGTAAATGATCCTCATAACTCAAAAATAGACAATTACCCTTTTTAGGAAGGAAATGAGTCATGTGTAATCTAAATCTATTTTAGAAAGCCAAAAACTTAAACGATTGTCTTACCTCTAGTAGCAAAAGCGTCTCTTGCTCTGTCCATTCCCTTCCTGCACTTGTACCTTTAGTCTGAAGCAGATGTCATGAAAACAATTTTAAAATAATTGTGATAACAGCTTTTCAGACACTTAATTACAGAAATAGTTTTAAGTGAAATAAATATCTCAACAACCAAATGTAATATGAGACAAGTGTCTGAAATAAGATTGGGGATTGGGAAAAAAAACCATGTAGTTGTTACTGTGCGAGACCTTCGGGTGTTTCTTGGTGTAGATGTCGGAGCGCAGACCAAAGTTCTGGCAGTCTGGCGGCTTCTCTTTGCTCTTTTCCAGGAAATATAACATATGCTGCGAGGCCGACACCTGCGAGAGTGAGAGTGGGCGGCAGAGTTTATCAGATGATTCAAATGTGTGCTGCAGACGCATCGGTGTCGAGCTGTTGTCGTGTGCTCCATGTGTGTGTGTGTGTTTTACCTGCAGTGGTTTGTGTTGTAGGGGGGCCAGCCCGGACGGTGTGTCGGCCAGTACGTTGAAATGAGGGGTGGGTGGGGGTCCCATGGGGAGGGGCCGGCTTTCTGCATCCACCTGGTAGTTAATCAAACCCCACTGCTCCAAAAATGAATGAACCCTGGACATAAAGAATATTGTTCTTCTTTGTATCTACATTTCACTGTGTTGCAGCTGATGACAACATGTAAATACACCGACAAGCTGCAATTAAAAATAAAAGCTGCTTTTGAGACGCATTAGTACACCACGTCCCACATTTTCCTTACCAATATTAACAGATTTAATTCGGTAACACATATTTCAGCACACCCACACACCACACTTAACTTCAGACAATGCACGGTAGCAAACACCCACACACACACACACACACACACTAAGTGTTACCTCATGACGGCACAGACGTCTCCAGTGAGGTTGCGTCTGCAGGACGTTGAACTGAGGTATTCCTGGGGGTTGAGCCGGTATGTGTCGATCATGAAGTTACGGTAAGCCAGGTAGCTGCGATGCACAAGCAACACCATGTTGTTTTTCGGGGGAACCATCTCACTCACCTGATAAGACTTGAATAGTAAAGTCTGAATATCTGCAGCACTCACATTTCTGGCGATTTGGACTTATTCATTCCATTGAAGAATTCCGGCAATGCACGCTTCTCTATCGCGTGAATGCTGCAATACATGGATAGAGAGGTTTTTAGGAGTTAGGTTATAAAGTTGGGATGTACTGAAGAAAGCTACGTTTGGAGTAACAGTCAATGTCACTACATGTGTGCGCGTCTGTGAGTGTATTCAGCTACCTGTTGTAATTGAACCAAGATGTGTAACTTGGTATTATGATATGATGGGTTTGTTCCGTGATGTTGTCATCTCCCTCTGACAGGCGAGGTATCTCCCCTCTCCCCTCCTCATCATCCTAAACACACACACAGAGTACATTTAATAACACTTTTACATCACTGCCCTCCTGCACTTAAAAACATTTGATTGAGATCGATTTCATCATATTTACCCTTCCTGGGAAATCATCCTCCAGTTCATCTGGAAAAGTGAAAGAGAGTGAAAACTCAATGTGCATTCCCACAAACAAAAGTCCAACCGTATTTCGTTATCTTTAACATTATAAACTGGAGGAAACATTTACGCATGCTACATTTCTCCTCAAACATGAGCTATAACACTTAACCTACCCAGGTCAGCCATAGTCCCTCCTTTGACAGGAGTATTCTCACTGTCCTTCTTCAGGTTGACTGCAACAACATAAGACATAGTATAGAGACAAAAGGCTACTTTTCTGAATACTTATATTTGACTAGTTTCCTGGTCACAGTCTTTTACCATTCTTGGGTAGTACAACCTCCTCCATGTTAGGAACAGGGGTAGGGTCCTCCATGTCTTTGGTCAAGTCCTCTTCTGTCTCTTCCTCCTGTGGTCCGCGCCTTCTCCTGTGCAAACACACAAAATTCAGGGCTCAGACCTCACCCTGAAATGTCAAACCAAACGGATACCCTCCAGTGTGTTGGAAACACTTGTTTCTTACCCCTTCTTTCCTTTCTTTCTGCCTTCTGAGGAGGGAGGAGAGGCGGAGCGTCTTCTCTTTTTGGAGGGGGTGAATTTGGAGTCCTGCAACAGAGGGCAGACATACAGTAGAGGGTGAAAAACAACAACTAAGTAAGCCAAAGTTTAAGGGTCATTATCTGAAAATGAAAGTATCCTTTTTGCCTCAATTTGGAAAATAATTGACAACACCTCTATCTTTCTGACGCCCTCTAGACCCCCTACAGCTTCGTACAAACCTGGTCGTCTCTGAGGTGAATACGCCGGCGGAAAATGATTGGTACATTCCTCTCGTCCACACAATAGTCTTCTTCGTTCATCCACTCGTTGAAAACATCTGTGTCCAGAACCCAGCTAGCATGGACCTGGGGCGCACACACACAATGAGGATTAATGTGGTGTATGCTAGTGTATGTCATCAAGTGTCCAAAAGGAACACACACAATGTATTAACCTCAATGTAATCTGATTCTGAGCTGAAATATTGATGTCCAGCTGTATATAGTAAATGCAGCAGGGATCCATAGTATGTAACTAAGTAAACAGAGCGGTAAAGCATCATGTTTCTGTATGTGTGCTGTTGTACGAACCCGCCACGGCTTCTCTGAATGTGGTGGCTCTTCAACCTCTCCTTCAACATCACTTGAGGACAGCCAACTATCATAACTGTGGAAAAGTGACAATTGACACAATAGGTAAGTATGTACTGTATATACGTGTGTGTGTGTGTGTGTGTGTGTGTGTGTGTGTGTGTGTGTGTGTGCTTGTGCATCACCTGTCAGGGTGCATGCCCCAGTGTACCAAGACATGTTTGTCTTTCCGCATGACAGGACGCATCCACTCATCTGAACACAGACGTGTATGAGAAAAATGTATTCAGTTAAATACGTACCAAGCATTTCAAAAGATAACACACTCACACGCACAAACTGTAACTGACCTTCCTCTGTAGACGCAGGTGAGGAGTAGATGTGGTGACTGGCGAGCGTTCGGTCCTCAGTGAGAGTTCCCTGTGGAGGGACAAACCTTTAGCACTGATATTGAACTATATTGTTAGAGATAAACTGAGTTACATATTCTCGCTTCTCCTCTCAGTATACATCAACGTATGAACATGTTCTCCTTCATCACTCCGTCCAACACACAGTCTGCTCATCTTTGATTCTCTTCTGCAGCACTTTACCTGGTGTTTGGTGATAATAGACGCAAGTCTGCTAGCCAGCTCCTGATCCAGTATAGGGTCCACATATACCACAGGCAGTGAGATAGACTTGTTCTGTAGATGCACAAATCACAAGTAGTTCATCAGGGGGGTGTCCCTGATAGGCTGATGTGTTTATGTGTGTGTGTGTGTTTACAAGTGTGTCTATGTCACCTGGATCAGGGCTCTTTCAATAGCACCAAACATCTCAACATTTCTTTCAGTTCTTGATGGATTCTGCAAGTCAAACCTCCGCCTGTAGAAGGAAGGAAGGGAAGGGATTTAACATGAAGGACACTACTGTGAAAAAGCAGAAGCATAAGGGGCACGCAACTCACCAGCCTTGCTCAGCCTTAAACTTGTAGGCAGTGCCAAGGATGTGGCAGAGTCCACCCCCTGGCCGCAGGTCCAGGAAGCACTGTGCCTGCAGAACAATTGTAAAATAAAGAGTTTTGTTTATTATCCATCGTGTCAGATTTTCTGTCGTCTTACTCTTTCCCCTCTCTAAGCGGGGACACCATTGAAAGACGCTTTTAGATTTACAGAGGTTTTATCTCTCGTTATTCTAATTATGTCCAGACTGAAATCAATCAAATCTTGTTTATTTGTCACATACACAGTACAACGTGTCATGAAATTATTTTGTGCCTAGCTCCAAGAACTACAGATGAAAAATAGCCTTTTGGCTAACTCTGGCGCATTTACAGAATTTTTTTTATTAATGTGCACTGTCCCTTATCAAACAAACCAATAAATAATGGAAGCAACTAAGAAATATAGAAAATATACATATATGATTGCATGGATGCAGAATGATTGCAGTACTGTATTTAAATCAGTATACAATTATACACGGTAGGGATCTCAACCCCTGTAAAAACAAGCCTAAATCAACATAAATCCTAAAAGATGGAGACTGGATATTGTAAATTCTGAATACTCCCGACAGTGAGAGATGGACTCACGGGCAGTTTGGTGAGAGCAGGACTGGTGGCTTGTCTGCCAAAAGCATCCTCTTGGAACTGGAGAAGCTGCAGAGTCATTCCAGCCAGAGCCTGACACGATGGAGCGTCCACCAGCACATACTAACGGACACACAGACAGAGACATGAGGAGAATGTTAATTGCTATAAGGCTACATACAACCCACTGCATTTACCGAGAGTCTAGACAGTTTAACTGTTGTGTTTGTAACGTTACTAGTTAACCTCTAGGATCTGGCTGCTTTGCACTTCATCTTTTGTGTGTTATTATTTTTAAATGCAGCACTCAATACATCTTGCTGGTCAGTGTAAAGGTAACGTTATCCAGCACGAGACGTTTGTTTACAGTCTGAGCCACTGGACTTGCTAGCAGGGGGCGGCTAGCTTGTTAGCTAGCTTGCTAGCTAGCTAGATCCTAACCAGCTAGCTGGCTAGCTTGCTAGCTAGCTAGCTTCCTAACCAGCTAACTACCTTTTTGTAGTGCTTCCCGATCCACTGTCGCACCACCTCCAGCTGGGCTAAAGTATCCGGACTCTCCCAGAACCGAGCGGACGGACTGCTGTCTTTTTTCCGATGTGCGGATGTTCCGGAGCTGGCTTGGCTTGTCCCAGGAGTGCCGAGGTGTGTTCCTCCGGACATTGTGGCCATAATTAAACGAGATTAATCTCAAACAGGAGAACAAAACTGGCTAGCGCGCTCGCTAGCTTTTGCATTCTCGCGTTCTCTCGCGAGACGGAGCGCGATTGTCGCAGTTCGGAATAAAGGTTTTCTCTTTTTAAATGTTTTTCATTTTCAAGTGTTTTATTATGTAATTGTGCGCGGTTCTAAATCAGTAGTATGTTTTTAAAACACCACGAAGCGTCTGTATGTAGAATACACGTGTTTGTTACAAACCACGACTTTTATTTTGAAAAGTACAACAAAACAAGGAAATAACTCCGCAAGACATGCAAACAGAAGTGAAGCGACATCGGTTAGCAGCTGCTTGTTTATATTATAACACTCTAATTCCAAGCTACCTATTGAATAATTGTTAAAAAAAACATAATTACAATAACATGTGAACATTTTTGCAGAAATGTTTGGTTAGTCATAACTTTCCAGACATTCACAATGTCTGTCAGGAAATACAAAGCTGGCTGTCAGCGAATTATGATTGTTTTCCGTCCCATTCTATAATTGGATATCAGCAAAACTGCAGACTCCAAAAACCCTTAGGTCAACCTTACTCATCGCAGCACTGAAGCGCCAGCAGTGAGTAACCTTAACGCTTCATGTTTTCTCAGGTCCTGAGATCCTATGGGTGTCCACGGTCTGACCACCTTTGTCGAGGGGAACAGAAACTTACTCCAAGATGTGAAGTTCAGGGACAGTCCCCTGGTCATTGATGGCTGCAGCCTGTATTTCCGCCTCTACTTTAACCACAGTTTGGACCAGCAGCACGGAGGGGACTACGATGCCTTTGCTTGCTTGCTCACCCAGTTCCTCTCTGCGTTGGCGGCATGTAACATCCAGCCGTATGTGGTACTGGATGGAGGTAAGAATGCTTTTCAATTGCAACGCCCTATCAGTTTGTTCACATTTGTAAACAATGGATCAAGTTAATTGTCCGTTCTGTTCTTTTTCTTAAGGGATTGACCCAAGTGACAAGAAGTTTCCCACTCTGCGTCAGCGTCTACAGTCCAAGATAAAGGAGGCAGACAGTCTCTCCCATGGCCGCAATGGCTCTATTCTCCCCATCCTCACGAGGAATGTTTTCATTCAGGTCCTCATCCAGAGAGGAGTCCCACTGGTCCAGTGTCCAGCTGAGGCTGACTGGGAAATTGCATGTCTGGCTCGCCAGTGGAACTGCCCAGTTCTGACCAATGACAGTGACTTCTATATCTTTGACCTGCCAGGTATGAATAGCGACAGGATTTTTGGTACTTAACAAGGATCCAAATCTGCCTTTGTAATGATGGTATCTCACTTGCGGCTCGGCTGTTGTCTTACATATTGTTTACCTGCTTTGTTTTCCTAGGTGGTTACCTGCCACTCAGTTCTTTCCAGTGGGCCAACCTTAACGGTAAAGCCTCTCACCGCTACATCTCGGCTCGTTGCTACACCACCAATGGGCTGTGTCGCTGGTTTGGCAGCATGAACAAGGAGTTGCTGCCCTTATTTGCCGTCCTGGCTGGTAATGATTATGGCGCTCCAAAAGATGCTGAAAGAATCCTAGGTATGTTAGGTGCGAGTGGATTCGGGAGAGGCGGTGGCAAAGGTAGAGCACGTGTTTCCCGCATCGAGGGCTTCCTCCTCTGGCTGTCCTCTTTTAAAAATCCGGCCGACGCACTGAAGGAAGCGAGCATACTGATGGGGGAGGAAGCTGGAGGCGTTAGGGGCAGAGGACAGAAGGGTGGGCTCAGTTCACAGCTGTGGGCAGGTATGCAGCAGTACCACATCGCCACTCAAAGCTCTCTGGCTCACTGGTTCTCTGAAGGTACGGCCGCTCCTAGAGGGCGGACCTCTTGGCTGCCAGAGTGCCTGTCGCTGGCTGCAGCTCAGGGGCTTTTGGCTCCCTTGGCGGTGGATGCTCTGGTGATGCGCAAAGTCCTGCTCATCCCGCAGGTGGAGAACAGCAGGCTAGCCAGCAGCCATAGTAGTGCCAGCGCCATACGCCAGGCTATATATGGGATGTTACTGCAGAGCGGCCAGGATGTCCAGGCACGGGATATGAGGGCACAAGAAAACATCAGCCAGGGTATGAGAGGTGGGAGAGGGCGAGGGGAAAGGGGGCGGGGAGGTGGAGGTGGGGGTCAGGTTATTATTTTACCCACACAGCAGGGTGTTCAGTCAGGATTTAGCATTGAACAAGCAGCTGGTGCAGCTACAGTATCGGCCCAGGACCATTGTGCCCCCATGTGTGTGGAGGAGTATGACCGCATGGATCTGAACTTGAGGAAAAACAATGTAGAGGCACATCCACTCAGAAACCCCCTGCTTCTAGGTACACTGGGCCAGGTATGACAACAAAAATTATGTTTAGTTTTTAAAGGCAAGTAGTAATTTGATTTATTTACCTTTCCCGATGCTGTCCCATTATTTTATCCAGGCTCCTGTGAAAGTTCGTCTCGGGGTGCTGTTAGAAGTCTTGGGAGTGAAGGAGTCTGCCCTGGCTGCTGTTCCTCTCCACCTGAGGCTGGCTGTAGCAGTGACAGCCTTCTGGCTGCGAGAGGCCAAACCAACACCCTCACAGCCCCAGCTCCAGCTCCAGGCGTTGGTGCTGGGCATGGTTTACGGAGAGCTGTCTTGGAGCAACCAGCCTGAAGCTACCCACTACCAACACACCGGTTAGTTGTGTTTGTGTCTTTTCTATTGCCCCACGAGGTCACAGACACTATGTATCTCAACGTTGCTGCTGTGTATCATCCCAGTCCCACAGCTGAACTGGGCTGCGGAGCACAACGTGTGGACGGGGCTGGATCGACAACGTGTGAGACCAGGGGAGAGGCGGGGCTTGGATGTCGGAGTGGCTCACAGTCTCAGCCAATGGCAGGCCTGCCTCTGGAGTGCACTGTGTCTCAATCAGCTATTGTTGCAGCCGCTGCCTGAACCCCACCTGTCATGGTAAGGCACAGGGCGAGACAACACACCCTTTGGATTTGAGAACTAGAGCTGCAACTGACTTTTCTTTGTTCTCGATTCAACTTTTTATTTATTTGATTATTAGTCTATAAGAAAGTAGTAATGAATGCCCATCACAATTTCTCACAAGCTCATGGTGACATCATCTTATTGCTTTTTGATGATTACATAAGAGACATTTTATACAGATACCATGGTTAAGTGATAACAAATGTTATTTTTGTATTATTTGCCTCCCTCTCCATCTCTGTGTGTGCTTCAGGCTGTACAGTGGTACCTTGGTGCACGGTCTCCTCAGGTATCTGAAAGGAGGCCGAGCTGCTGAGTCCCTCCTCGTCAGGGGTTCCATGTCCGGACCGCTCTACTCATCCCTGCTGGACACCGTGAGGAACTGCAGCTCTAAGACCCATCCTTCCTCTTCGGCAGCAAGGAGGGGGAAGAGAGGCGGAGGCCGGGGAAGGAGAGGAAGAGGGGGAGGTGGTGGAAGAGGAGGAAGAGGAAGGGGAAGGGGGACTGAGGAGATAAACAATAGGTTTGCTCTCCTGATGAGCGAGGAAGAGTTTGACGATTGATGAGGAGGCAGAGGAAAATGAACTGTTCGATATGAAACACTCGTGAGGGGCCAAAAAAAGGACATTCCAGTGTTTTATCAAACGCACTCAGGGAATGCTACAAATAGTCATTTGACAAGCGAAGAACACCTCTTAATGTCGACCGTTGAGTGTCTGCCTTTGTTGCACTAATTTCAGCTTCATCAATAATATTTACCCGTTTATGAAAACTTCTATTCCTGTCTTAAATCAAGTGACGGCAACATGTCGGATAAGTTTTCCCACAGAGAACTCTGGCCATATTTTAACTCATTAGAGCAATGCCACTGTATTTAATGCATGTTTTCACCGGATATTTTTATTCAGTTAAGTCAACACAACATTTTAACAGTAAATGAAGAGGCGTCTTATTTTATCACGTTGTATGGCAGCTTATATCATCTTAAAGAGCAACTTGTGAAATCTTCTTTAATCGCAGATGCCGTCTTACTCATCTTTCTATAATAAAAAAAAATTGAAATCAAACTCAGACACACATTTCTTCATCACATTCAGCTAGTTTTTACTTGTAACCACATGGCTGACAAACTTTTTTTACTCACTCTATGAAGTCATTTGTATTATTAAATATGAACACAACACAACCAATATTCAACAATTCATAAATGCAATACATCTACACTCCGTAACAGTATTTTATTCCAAAATGATAAAAACAACATTACAAAGTTCTTTAAACGAAAGGACAAATAAAAAGGTTCCCCACCTGTACTTGCCAGTCTGTTTTCTCTTTCTAGTATCTAACCTAACAATCCTCATTAAAAGTCTCCTTGTCCCCTTTAACATAAATTTGTGGGATAGTGTCCCACTGGCACTTTTAACAGTGGGACAGCTAAAAGTTAAAAAGCAATGTGGCTACTGGACAAAGTTAAAGAACATGACCAGCTGTTTGCCTAAATGCACACGTGAATATTCACATTAGTAGAGGAGCTGTCAGGCCACTGGAGGCCCAACGCAGTAGCTGCCGCAACTGTTGCAACATACACTGAATCTTCCTCTCGTCCTATGAGGAGGAGGATGAGGAGGTTGTGGCAGATGCCGAGGCGGTGGCTGCAGCGTGTGGCTGAGAGTCTATGAGGTCCATGTCTTCGTCTTCGTTGACTCCGCACGTGTCGACCACGCAGATCAGGCAGCTTGTGACGGGAAATGCTCGCACCTTGCTGCAAGTCACCCACCTGAACACAGAAGAGAACAGATTCAGAGGCGGCATGAAATTGAGAACTTTCATTAGTTGTGAGGCAATTAGATTAAGGGTTTAAAAAAGCTGTTACAAGCTGTTACAGATGCCGAGTGTGCCTATTAGTGACAGAATTCAACATCTATTTATTCATTTGTTTTAGTAATATCTATTTAATACACTGACCTGTCCGTTTCAGTGTAGTACTCCAGGACGTGTCCGAGTCGCCCCACACCTTGAAACCCGGCCAGCACATAGATGACCTCACCGACCGCTGCACACTTCACCGTCACACCTCGCCACGGCATCGCCAAAGCAGCACGCCACTCATTACTGGCAATGTCATAGTATTCCACTGAGTCAAGTCCACCTAAAGAGAAAAAAACAATATCATACTGACGCCACATATGCTACGGCTACTATGTTGAATAGTAATATTACAGTATTTTAGTAATATCATTTTTTTTGCACCTAGAGCTCCCTGCCCTCCAACAGCGTAGATCCTGCTGTTGACCACCACCAGCCCATGGTTCTTCCTGGCCTCTCTCATCCCAGACAACTCCCTCCATCTGAGGACAAGAAGGTGGAGACAAGAGGTATTGAGGAGAAGACAACAGCAGTAGCAGTGCAAGGTGATTTACTACTTCTGTGTGAATGTACATATGATTATTGTCAGCTAAATACAACATTGATATGATATACAGACAGTAAGTAAATAAGACATGTCTTCACATTGTCCTTGCGTTTCCTGCTGTTGTCACCAAGTACATAGCAATAAGGCAACAGTGTTCCCCATCATTGTTCCTTTTCAGTATCCCATTCATAAACACTGTAAACCAACCAGGGACCAACAGAAATCCCCACATCATCCATTGGGTTGTATAGTTCTAAACCATACGTTTGTGTGACTCACTTTTGCGTGCTGGGGTCGTAGACCTCACAGTTGTTGAGGACCCTGCCGGACACGTTGTTGCCCACCGTGCCTCCACAGACGTATATGAGCCCGTCGGCCTCCACCGAGCCGTGGCTGCAGCGAGCCATCAGCATGCTGGTCTTCACCTGCCAAGACTCCGTCCTCGTGTCATAGCATTCGAAAAGGTCGAGCGCAGAGCTTCCTGCAGACGCACGAGTACAGTACACAACACCACGATTACACGCTTTCAGAAGGGGAATGTCTTTTTCGCCCGTGAAGGATCATCAACATCTACTATCCCCAGATCCCGAGTTCACCCCTTCCACCTCTCTGTGCTCACCCACTTCCGACCCCCCAGACGTGTAGATCTTGCCCTGGGCAGGGCAGGCAGCGAGGCTATCGCGAGGCGTGGGAGGTCCCAGCTTGGAGTACCAGCTGTCCTTCAGGACGTTGTAGCAGTCCATGCGCTTGATGGGGAAGAGCTGTGAGCCACCCAGGATGTAGACCACGTTGTCCCAGAAGACGGCTGTGGCGTCTCGGCGCTTCTCGAAGGGGCAGCGGATGTCTGTCCAGGTGGAGTCCTGCATGGAAAGCCAAACTTAAACTCGACTTTACTATACAAACCAATAGATGTCATACTTGTTTCTGCAATATCTGATCTCATTTTTCCAAACTAAAACCCAACATTAGAGTTCAGAAGATTCCCACTTTAATATTAAATGAGAAGTATATAGCTATACAGACTTTACTGACTCAAGCTCAGTACCTTGGGGTTGAAGTAGCGGCAGGACTGAGGCTGGGAGCCTCCAAACAGAGCGATGCGGTAGTCGTGCTTCTTGCGTCGTGGTCGGCTGTTCTCCCCCAGATCCTCCCGATCCTCCAGGGACAGCAGGTGGTAGCGCATCCCACCTGGTGCGAAAGCACAGGCGTGCTCATGTCAACCCAGCAGACCGTAGCAGTGTGCCTTTGCACCAGTTTAAACTTGCTCTCATGATTTGTGGCGGCGGCTCATATGTTATAAATCTGCGACAGCCCTGCCAAAACTTTGATTTAAAACACTCAATATTAAAAATAAAGTTTTAATCTTTTAATATAGAGTACAATGCGGACACTAAGTAATGTAACATTTTAAGCATAGCAGAAAATGTCAACTGTTTCCTCACCAATGTTTTTGTGTCCCTTCACATGATTGCAATACACTCACTACTGTGTGTGTTTACTATGTCTGTTTGTGACATGATTTGTGTGAGTGTTTTTTCTCCTCCTACTCACTGATGACCATCTTGAGACACTGTGGGTTGTCCTGGATGAGGGGCTCAGCCTGCACCGTCTTGGAGAGGAAGGTTTTGGAGACCAGAGGAAAGCGAACGCACCCCAACACCTCCACCATGTACTGCTGTCTGTTACACACATCGTACTTCAGCCAGCGCACTGCTGCGTCATAAATCTGAACACAAACGCAACAACAAGACATGTTGAAGCATTCAGATTATAGGTGGTGGTGGTTTTAGCCAGTCAGCTTTGTCCTGACGAGATGAAAAGCCATCTATTTGGGAATCTAAGTTGTAAAGTGAAGTATTTCTCATTATTTGTACATAAAAGATTGTAAGGGCTTGTTATTTTGCCATGTCCCCGAACTTAGGCACCGACAACAGTACCAACAGAAACACCTCAGACATGTTTTTCTTTAGCATAAAAGAAATGAAGCACATGGTCAATGAATGTGTGTGTGTGTGTGTGTGTGTGTACCTGGGCCTCAGCACGGACAGTGAGTTTGTCCTGGTGCAGTAGGTGTGTGAGCTGTGAAACATTTAGTTGCAGGAACTCATCCAGTTTGTAGACTTCAGTGAAGTGGAGCTCAAAGAAGTCCTCTGCTGCCGCCTTCAGCTCGGGACAGTCCATACAGTCTGCCAGGGTGGAAATACCTGCAGGATTACAGGACAAGGATGAGTCAATCTAATGCGTTACATGATGTGACCCAAACCAAAAATGTGACTCAAGAAGACAACCCTAATTGTACATACCAGGCACAAGTACCAGCTAAACTCACTCAAAGGGCATAGCAGATTTTGGGGTAAAAAGCAAATGAGATATGATTCAGCCTTGATTGTATTACCAAGGCAGTTTGTTGCATCAATTTGTCCTTTGAGGAACTCCACACACATCTTCTTCACGGGCTCAATCTGGTACTGGTTGGCTGCATCCAGCAACGACTGGACGTTACTGCTGTTCACCGAAATCCTGAAAAAAAAAAACACACACACACACACTTTATCATTAAAGAGGTGTTTCTGATGAAATCAGGTGAAAGTAAGTTAAAAGAGATTGTGTCTGTTCTAGTGTTAAGCTTTGCAGCATTTGTAAGCAATTACACCACAGTGTCATATTCCCTTTTTTTCCAGGTGCATTGTGTGCCTCAAAACGACCACTCCTATATGTCACGATTGGCGCTCTACTTTCAGCCAAGATTCTTACCGAGCTGTGTAGATAAATTCAATCAACAGCTCAATGATGTCAGGCTCGGCACTCCTGAGCTCCACCTCGTGGGACATCGACTCCATCATTCTGGCTGGAGGTGAGGAAAAAGATAGGTAGAGGTCATAGAAAATAGAGACATATCAGCAAGACATGATATTCCTCTTATGCTTGGCAACAGCTTGGGTGGCACACTGCATCATTTATACTGTGACATCCCAAAATAATAATGTTCTATCAGAAATCACACCACCCCTACAGCAGCAGAGGCAAATGTTCTCACTACTGTGGTCCACAAAATATCAAGCGTGTTTTCGTGTCCGCACTTACTGGTGAACATGAGGCTGAAGAAGTGGCTTGCAGCAGCCAACACTACTCTGTGGGCAGGAAAGTGTTTCCCCTGAACCACCAGGGTGACGTCACAGAGAGTAGCCTGAAGAAAACACACGCATGCATCAGCACAGGGAAGGGACACACACCAGTAAATGACTCATGTCAAGCCCTGTTACCGACACACACACTCTTGTTCTCTTTTCTTTTCTCTCACACACACACACACACCTGTTTCCTCATGTTGTTCATGACTCCCATGATGTTAGACAGCTGTCTGAACTCCTCTTTGATGGCACACTTCCTCTCGCTCTTCTTCTTGGTGATCGCCGCCTTCTCTGGAGAGACCACCCCCGTCATGTCAGCCCGATGAATGGAATCTGTTCGGTAAAAATTAAAACACCTTCAGCACCACCACCCCGCCAGCAGTCTGCAGCTGCTGCAGCCTCTTTGTTGTCGCTCAGCCGCTGGCTTGGCTTGCTAGCAGCCTGCAGCTTATTGTGATTTTATGAACTAAAAGGCAGCCAGTTTTACGGCAGCTACTCCTTGAAAATAAAACTAGAAATCATAAAGATGAACTTTCTATAGTGATAAAACGGTGTAGCGCAGTGTATTTTGTGAGCTGCTCGAGTTGTGGTTTTCTTCTTCTTCTACGTTTTTTTCTTTGGTTGAAGATGGTCCCGTTCGCCCCCTACCGACAGGTGCGATAAATAACTAATTAACCTGCGGGATTGCGGAACTGATTTACTTTTTACTTTTAGTAGATCTGTAATGAATCGTTTTGGTATTCAAAAAAAAACAAAAAAAACGCACGTGGTATTTGTATCCCTTTGAATAGCGACTTTCAGATTGCATACAGCCATTGAAAGACAAAGACAGTGATGCAGCTAATGGCAACAGTAGAGTTTGTTTACCTCGCTGCAGCGCACCTGTAGGTCAGACCTGTCTGTCACATTCATACCTGCACAGGAATCCAGAAAACATAACCAGGAAGAGAAGTTTTTCAGAAGTCGTATGACGCTGACGTCATTTGGAATGTGTGCGGACTGCAGATGCATTGTCAGAAATGATTGACCTGAAAGTAAATTGAGAGAGAGAGAGAGAGAGAGAGAGAGAGAGAGAGAGCTGCGAGAAAGAAATGCTCCGTTTTCTCTGCTGTTGCTGCTTCTCAAGTGAAAACTCCGCCACCGAGGTACGTGATTATGGACTTCCATGTAAATGTTAATGATCATTCAAGTTCAGGCCAGACACTTGATCACTGCGTTGCTTCGGTGGGATTACTGGATGAACCCATTTTCTAAGAATGGTGAGGACGACAGCCGTTATAAAGAGTTAATGTGTGTATGACATGCTCTACGGTTGTCCCAGTAAAGTCCCTTTGACAGTGTTTTTGTTTTGTCTCACAAGACAAGAAAAGGTCAGCACTATAAGTGTGTTGTTCTGTCACAAACACAAAGTGCAGAGGTACTAGAACCTTGAACTATAACACAAGTTCTCCATATAGGAATTATGTGACACACTTGAAATACATGTTTTTGTTTATGACACTGTTATTACATGTGTCGAGGCGAACACAAGCCTTGTTAGTGTTTTCTGTCTCTTTCTGAAAAGTGCAAAGAAAACAACTCTGCTATTATTTTTCAGAGGCAGCCTCTCCTGCACCCCACACCATCTGACCTGAATGGAGCTGGATCAGCCAGGCAGAACCGGCCAGGGCACAGTGGTACATAATCTCTCTAGATGTTCATGTGTCTTTCTCTCAGAACTGCACACTTCCAATGTATACAATTATGTATGAATTTGTACTCCATGTGTTCTTTTGTGTGTGTCTGGGTTGGGTTGTGTGTGATACTCTTCCCTCCCCCCAGATGCACGGACAGTGAGGCGGATCGGCAGGCTGGTGATGAGGCGAGTGTGTGTGCCAGAGATAGACCAGAGGTTTTCTGACATGGCCGAGACCTTCAACGAACAGCACGAGCGCTATGAGGCCATGGTCCGACATATCAGCAACCTGCGTCAGAGCTGCGGGTGTAACCACGATAACACTCTGGCTTTAGCCGAATGTGTGGGGACGATCAGAGATGAGCATGGTAAGGGAGAGCTCCTTGCCAGTGCAGGCAACGTGATGGCAGGTTTCCTTCCTTCAGTTTTCAGTTTCCTTGGTTTGTCTGATTCAATCTCCCTCTCTCCCCACTTCCAGAGACCAGGTACAGGGTCACCCTTAAGATGAAGGGCTATGACTTCACCCTCAATGTGGTTCCTGTGTGTGAAGGGGAGGAGGAACCATTGCCTCCACCCCTGCAATTGGCACAGGATGAAATGAAGGGCACTTCTGAGAGCGCCAAAGCCACCATCTCAAAGGGTACCACACTTAAAGAGTTGATTGGCTGGCTGCTCCGTAGCAAGGATCACATGGCTGAGCAAGTGAGAGGGGCTGCAGTAACTCACCAGGAGCAAGGAAGACTGGAGGAGAACCTGGAGGAGAACCTGAAGGAAGTGAGGAGGGCGAAGGAGTTGTCGCTGGGATACAGACAACGGGCCGGGGAAGTCGTCACTGAGGCTGCACAGATATCAGGGGCTAATGTGTAGTTTATGCACATATTAGATTCTCAATTTTAATCCACCAACTACAATACACAGGTACAGGATTAAGATATTAGAGGTTATACACAATTATGCACACACAGAAAGTCATATAAATGCGCCAAGTATATCTCTGCTTTGCCGGCCATTGCAGCCTTTTGTATCATAAGACCTTCAATTATATCTTTGTTTTAAATGTTTTGTTAAACTTTTAATAAATCTAGCAGATACTCACTTTAACACTTGTCTGTGTAAAGACAGTAGTTTCCTGGATGGGTGAAATCTTACCAGCTAACATTAGGGGGCATTGCAGACTTACTTGACTATTCTAGCAGTTGCCTTCATATTCATATTCCTCCGATTTAGTCTGTTTCTCAGAAATCACACTACATGGATAACGATTCCCTAAATTACAGAATCAGGTATCAAAATAATGAATGTATTACTATTTTTGAAGAATTTTACACCTAATGAGACAAATCTTTGCCACAAGGAAAGATTGTTCTAATTTCATCCACAATGCAATAAAGGTCAGGATGCAGTCTCCAGAAGCAGCAATGGGAATTGGACCAGAGTTTTTTTTGTGACTGTGCCAGTAGTGTTTTGCTATTCTAACATTCGGAGGGAGCAGATTTGCTGATTGTTATCCACAAAAGCCCATGCATTTTTTAACTGATTAAAAACCACAGCTTTCCAGCAGCTATTGATGTGAAAGCAAGCAAACACATGGTCATATGCCATCTTGATAATTCATTTGGGAAAATCCATTGTTCCAGAGGTCACGGTCACGGAGACCATTTAGAGTCCTGCTTTTGCCTTACACTTTACAGATCAATGTGTCCTAATGTAGTGAGTAAAATGAGAATTCATCTCTAGATGAAAAAGTTTGGGAAATAAAACAAGTAAATTGAAAAGATTTAAATATTTATATGTTTAATGAAGGCAATCTATATTAATTATATCATTCGTGACTTTGATTCATTGTTTGTGCGAAAAAAAGTGGTACAAAATAGTTATGTTCATAATTAAAATGTGAATATGTATAATATATAAGAATGTAAGGCACTCACTGACTAATGAACATTAAACTGCAGTTTATTTGCTGCAGTATGATCAATTATTCTTACAATGTAATCATAATTTAACTTTCAATGAATTACTTATTTATATGATTCTTTAAAAGCATCTCTTGTAAATAAGTGCTGTCAAAGATCAGCGACTGACAGCGACAACCTACCGACGTCGTGGAAATTATTAACAAACAGCCTAGAGTCTAACCTGATTGGATGCTGCGTTTAGGGGGTGTGTGTCAGTTAGGTCGTATACTGCTCGCTCATTGGCTCAGCCGCCTGTCACTCCTTGGAGCGTCGTCTAAGGTTGTCTGGAGTGGAGAAAGTAATGAAGATGGAAGGAGCTGATGTTGATGAATTATTGAGGAGATTTATGGAGTAGCGAAGCGATAGCCGTTTACTCGTCTCGTCGGAACGATAGAGGACACCGATACCAGGAAATAGACCGATAGCATGCCCGTAAGTAACGGCAACTTCCCCCAATTTACTTGGTGTTCGCGCCTTAGCCGAGCTAGCTAACTAAGCTAATCTGAGAGCAACCGCGGTGACAGCTCGAAGTCATTCAGCAAGTCGAGGCAGTGAGAGTGTGTGACGGCGGAGGATCACTGTACATTCCTCTGCCTGATACTGGCTAACAGGTTACACTGGACGGCCAAGGCTAAAGTTTAGCTTTGAGCTGACGTCACCAGTGCTCTGAGAGACAGAAGTCCACGTTGTTTAAACGCAAGATGCTACCATGTTGTCATTGTGGCAAAAAAAACTAGCGGGCTAGCACCGCTTGGGGACAATAGTTACTCGCTACTTACATTTGCTAGATATTAGGTAATAAAACAGCCGTCAAGATGGAAAGGTTCCCCAACAGGTTTGGCAAACGAGCTTTTCACTGCACCCATTTTGCTATTGTAGTAGATTAATAAGTAACATTCGTGTTAGATACAGATTTTGTACCTGACTTGGTCATATTTATTAACAGCTGTGGGTGGGTGGTCTGGTCTGGTCTGTCAGGACCTTGTTAAAATACTTCCTCCAAATGTGAGTGTGTGTGTGAGAGAGAGAAAGAGAGACCTATGTCCTTGGTCCATGATATTATCAAAGTATTGTCATTGTGTTTACACCAGTCTAGCAGGGGCACAGAAACTACTGCAGACTGGTGATGATAGATGATTTTACTAATAGAGGTCATGTGATGCATCTTTCCTCTGTACCACCACCCAACCAGTTCAGGGGTTTCCTGTATGATGGGGTCCAGTGTGAAGCTTTGCCGCAGACTTGCCGGATGAAAAGAGGTCCTTCACTAGTGTACATGCAGTCAAAAGTTTAAAAATGTTTTGTTTTGTTTTTTTTACAATCTGTGTCCTTCACAAGGGCTGTGCCTCTGGTGGTGTGCCAGATATTGTTTGAATAAGATGCTGTTTGCAGCTTAATTCATTGGTTGTCCCTGCTTTCCACGTGTGTGTGTGTGTGTGTGTGTGTGTGTGTGTGTGTGTGTGTGTGTGTTTGTCTTTGCCGTTGTCATTCGGGAGAGGCTTGTCCTTTTTAGCAATAGACAGGTTGGTTGAGTGGCTGTTTGTTAAAGTGGCGTCATTAGGATGAATGTGTGTGCCTGGTAAAGTATGCGCAGGCTTGTTTTAATGTGTGGCATCCACGGCTGCTAGTGTACGAGGCCTCTTAATGCTTTTTGACAGTGAAGCCCGGCAGGTCATGAAGCAAAGGAGATCGTACGGGTTTTGTTGTCATCCGGCATCACAGCTAGAGTCAGCCATGCCTGCAGTTTCATGAAACATCCTGGTCATTTGAGCAATGAAAACTGTCGCAATCGTTTCCATCTAGTTCTGTACCAAATTCAAGTACAATATCCGTGAATTGAAAGCTGATTTTTACAGGAAAAGTATATATTTGTAGGCACAGATGCCAGTAGATGTGGCCTACTTTTAACTCCATGATAAATGTAGAAAATCAAGCTAATTATCTGAACCAAAAGTGGTACTTAAATGTGAAAATCCTAGGCTGAGCATTAATAGATTACGAGAGACTTATCCAATTGTTGCAAGAAAAGCTGAGACAAATGGAATTAAAGAGAGCATTGAAATTGGAGAATCAGCGACGTTAATCATCGGTCTCTTCAGGCTCACTTGCCACGAGGAGCTGAAGGGGCGAGATAAGGGACGAAGATGCATCACTGGCTTAGAAGCAACAGAGGAAAGAGCGTGGGCTACTGTAACAGGATTCCTCCGAGTCAGATCTCTGTATCTGTCTCCCTCGGTACCGACAAGCCACACACAAACCACAGACTGTGTTGTCATGTCTACTTAGAGCAGAGGACTGCCGGTAGCTATGTGTGTGCAAAAGATGAGAAAAGAAAACAGGGTTAGGGCAAAAGGAGCACTTCCATTTTTAAGCTATAAGCAACCTGCTATAGAAGGAGACCAGGGGGGAGAGCAAGGTGGGAGGCGATGATGCAACAGGGTTAACAGCAAGCCAAGATGGTCCAAATACAGAACATAGCATAAATAAAGATGTGATATGAATTGTGACGTCAAAACAAAATGTTGTAGACCTAGGGGTGGGTTAAATACGTAAGGGCTCCAAACAAGTCTGAACAGGAGTTCAGGTGGAGCTGTGTTGGAGACACCCCACAACTCCTCCAAATAGTTCACATGCAGCTTTTGCTTCCATTTAAGTTTAAAGCAAGTTTGGAGTCACTGGTCCAGCTTGTTTGTTGCCAGCTGACCTAGTTTGTAGATTTCGGGCGGAGTCGTGTTGCTTTAGTTCCTGGTTCTGCGTAACCAGTAGTTTTTGTTGCCTGCACCTTGTACCACAGGAAAAAGCAGCTGCGGCAGCTCTGTCACTCTCAAAACCACCCACTCTGTCTTTCTCTCTGCTTCCTTTCTTCCCTCTGTTCAAGCCTTCAGTCTCATTGGTCCGCTCTCTTCCTGGAAAAAAAAAAAAAGGTTCCAAAGCATAGCCCTATGTGTAATAGGAAATGAAGTAATCAACAGGGAGTGGTGTGCGTGTGTGTGTGTGTGTCCCTAACTTATTCTCACTTGGACTGGCTTCAGTTCTTCGCCAGCTTTCTCAGACAGGTATGTTCTAACTTCACTACTGAGCACCGGAAGACTCTGTGTTTTGATATTGGCATATTGTTGGCTGTGGGTTTTGTATGAATTCACATAAGCACTACTATGTGTGTGGTGTGTTTGCCTCAGGTGTTTCGTAACTCTGTCAGGAAGCGCAGGCACACTTACAGCGAGGATTAAGAATGTAAACTCAAAGGAGACCTGCTTGTGTTGGAGAAAGTCTCTGGAAGGAGGAGTCAGAAATAAGCTCATTTAGACCGCCGTGTGTGCGTGTGTGTGTGTGTGTCTCGGAGAATTTATTGCGTTGGTGTAAATTCGAGCTGTCAACTTTAGCTAGCTCACAGGGTTTGCCAAGCCAGACATTGAGTACACACATTTGCACACACACACTTGTGCAATCTCACTCCTTGGCTGCATTGGTGGAAAAACTCAGTAAGTCACAGCCAGGCAACTAAACACGTTGGTTTGTTTTTAGATCTCTTTGAGGCGTCTTCCCTTATCTCATGTGTATCTCTGAGCCTGTGAGGATGCCTGAGGCAGCAACGATTGAAACCTAATGAAGTCTCTTCTTTTATTGATCCCACTGCTGCACTCCTTTTGAGTTATTAATCCCATGGGTTGTCATACATTGCTTTTATCCCGCATCCCTCTATACATGCATCTCTACCTCCTATTCATTTAGCCATTGATCTCTACTCTCTTCACCCCCTTCACTGCCTCTCTCTCCATCTTCTTGTTCATCACTTAATTGGTTTGGGTTTGTTACTCAGCCACTCGTCCTTAACACCGGTTTATTTCTGCATGCTTGTGCTGATCAGTGGGGTTGAGCTGCATAGAAGAAGCTCACCCCCCCGCTGCATCATTTGTCGGGTGCTCTCCTTGGCTTATCTTGATTTCTGTCATGATGTTTGAGTCCATAATGACGGAAGACAAACATCAGCCTAATAACATAATTACGCTCTATGGTGTTCTCTCAGAGCAATTAGTTTGCTATTTTCCTCCAACAGTTGCTTACGCCTGTCTGCATTATGTCTACAGACCGTAGATATCTTAAAGACGCAGCATGTTGTGCTGTTTTGACCAGCTGTACATCTTGTGATGTGAATGTTTCCGATTTTGTTTCCACCCCTCTGCTGCTGCTTTAGTGTCGCTGCAGTTTCTTCTACTTGCTGCTGAGGTAAGAGGTAAATATATCACATAGGTAGGCGGCATGGCAGGCAGGCCTCTGGTTTTAGTCTTCAGGTATCTTTTTCTGGATACAGATGATGCAGATGTCATACCCCAGATGCCAGCGTGGACAGGGTTGACTGGCTAATAGCGACTCTGGAGGAGGAACACTTGCCCTTACAAGACTGACTCACCCACACTCTAATCACAGCCTTTTATTTTGTTATTCAGTGAGCCTGCCATTAAAATGCTGGCTTTAGATATCACTGCCGTCCTTGTAGTCGTCACCAGCGTGAAAGAAGGGAACAACAGACCTCTACAAAGAAGTAATTTCTCTAAATGGAGGCCATTCTGCTTTTATAATCCTTCCCCATTTCATGAGTCACTGCCCCC